TCTAACATCTTAATGTCCTCTTGCAGAAATATTGGAAACAGAAGCCTATAGAATATTTTTAATATATGAGTCCATCACTTGGTCTTGTTTTCTTAATCAAGCTGCTCACACCCTCAGCATTTTACTTGTTTGATCTAAAATCCCACAAAAGGCACTACCATTTATTCCTGGCTTCTGTAGGTCAGTTAAAATTCTGCTGAATGTGGGTTATGTCATTGCCACCTAATGTTAGCTGTCCTTAGCCAAGGTATTTGGGTAGGTTTTGGATGATCACATGTCTAATCATACCAGGAGCTTCTCTTATTTTCATGTGTCTGCTTTCATTCCAAGAATGGAATTAATTATAGCATCTGATCTTTTTGTTTTCTAGGAGACTGGAACAGTGGAAAGTTCCAAATTAACACATTTATAAGGAGTAGGTTCTGTTCTGTCTTGGGAAGTGTTTTGAATTTTTTACCTCAGCTACTGGATGTCACTCTCATACAGTATACCAAGGCCTTATGGGTGATTCATAGCTGTGGTTCATGCTGTTCTGAAAGATAGGAAAATGAGATTGTGTCTCACCCTCAGGTAGAGGATAATTGGTCTGTTATATCAAGATACTTTGTGATTCTAATTATAAGAACTAAGTTTATAGCAAGAAAAAGTGGTTGTAGGGAGCAATTATAGATCTAACTGTCCTTTTGAAGAATTTTTGAGTGGAAGTTTTTAAGAAGGGGTTGGACAACCATTTCTCTGAAATGGCATAGTGTTTCCTGCCTGAAGCAGGGGGTTGGACTAAAAGACCTCCAACTCTATTATTTTGTTATTATATTAATTTCTCTACTATGTGTGTTCCAGGAAGATATAGCATTAGCATTTAGGCTTATATACCGTTCCCTTGGTACTTTACAGCATTCTCTGAGAAGTAACAATGTAAGCATTATTTGCATATTGCCTCCAACAATCTGGGTCCTCATTTTACCGAAAGATGGAAGGCTGAGTCAACCCTGAGCCCCATCAGGATCGAACTCCAGGCTGTGGGCAGAGCTTGCCTGCAATACTACATTCTAACCACTGCACCACCAAGGTTTCATCATCAAACTCATCTCCAAGGGGAAAAAAAACCTATTATCTTGCCAGGCAGTTGATCAGTCTCAAGGCTCCCAATTTCCTTCCACTTGCTTGTAAAAACTCAACAAAAATTGCATATGTGTGGAAATATAAGAAAGGTTTAAACAGAGCAGTACCTTCTCTTAGCTTTTCTGCTAGGCCCTCCTCCCAAACTCTTTTATCTTCATGACCTCTTTCATCTGTTGTTTCTTCTCGTCCAAAATTTACAGTGTTTTTTTTTAACAGCAGCTAGTTGGATGAGCAGAGAACTGCTTCATTCATAGGTTTATTGGATCTGTTTATTTGATGCCATGCATTCTAGTCTGAAAATATTTGTGCAGGGGTGGGATTCCATTTTTTTCACAACCGGTTCTGTGGGTGTGGCTTAGTTGGTGGGTGTGGCTTGGTGGTCATGTGACTGGCTGGGCGTGGCCAACTCAATATCACTCACATCGAGGCACACATCTCCTCGCCAGACCTGTCATGACTGTGGAGATGCTGCAACAGTCGTAAGTGTGAAAAATGGTCATAAGTCACTTTTTTCAGTGCCATTGTAACTTTGAATGGTCACTTCACACAAGCAAAGTACCAGCAAAGAAGAGGAAAAAAACTCCAGAGAAGTTCCTGAGACAGAAAGTCTAGTCCTGCCAAGAATGTAATAAGGGTTAACAGAGAGGCAGTTTCTGTAAGCAACACCAGAATGTTTCCCTCCTGCCTTCCTTACAGGATTAGGCCAGTCATTTCTTCTAACAACCGGTTCTCCGAACTGCTTAGAATGTTAACAACCTGTTCTAGCGAATAGGTGCGAACTGGTAGAATCCCACCCCTGCATTTGTGTTATAACACAGTATAGCGCAGGCTTACTCTGTTGTTCTCTTCCTGTAAGTCTCTTGATTTTCTTTGACATTAGAAAAGTTTTTTACGGAACAAATCTCTAAGGACACAGCAAGGCATCGGCTTGGCTAGAAACTCAGATACTTGCAAGAAAGAAAGTGTCCTGCTCAGATATTTCCAACTAAGAAGGTATTCTGCTTTTTAAAAAGTTACAATGTGAAGAAAGTCAATTATCGTCTAAAAACGATACTCTGAGAAGTAGATTCTGGGTAATTATAATATCTTCTCTAATCCTGGCTTTGAGTCACTAGAGGCAAAGTTTTCAGTTGGGTGAGGAAAGATCTTTCTCTGGGAAGAGAAGAGACAGAGAAGGTAAGAATTATTGGTTTATTGATGTTTGGCATCCCTAACAGTACCATTCACTGGAAAATTCCAAAACAGGACAAATATCTAGGTATGTTTCCCAATATCAGAGGTGAACTGGCTTTAAATATGGACATTCTATAGTACGGGTAGTCCTTGACTTCATTGGGTGACCATTCGAATGGCAACAGCACTGAAAAAAGTGACTTGCGACCATTTTTCACACTTATGACTTTTGCAGTATTCCCATGGTCACATGATCAAAATTTGGTCGCTTTGTATTTATGACTCCTGCAGTTTCCCAGGGTCATGTGATTCCCTTTTGCAACCTTCTGACAAGCAAAGTCACTGGGAAAGCCAGATTCACTTAACAATCGTGTTACTTATTTTATTTTATTTTATTTTATTTTATTTTATTTTATTTTATTATTTTATTTTATTTTATTTTAT